AGAAATATATAATGATGTAAATATACATAAGGGTTTCAAAATTTTCGCTTCGATTTCCAGGTTCGGATGCCGCCTGATGTTTGGTGAAATACAGTCGAATATAATCTCAAAATGGCGTTTAAATTAGCCTAAATTAAAAATAATCGTATATCTCTTAAAATTGCTTTTAGAATATTGATTAGTATATTTTTTGATTTGTAGGTAAATATGTAACCAAATTAAAACGTTCAAAACGTAAAAAAATTTGCATGGTTGAACATTGTCAGAAAGTAGATTCTTGAATAGGTTTTGCCAAAATGGGTTCAAAAATCTCAATAATTAATTAAAAAATACAGCAGCACCAACGTCAATAATGAATGGCTCGACTTGTTCCTCTAAAATATTGTCCAGTTCCCACATTCTCTTTTCAACTTTGTCTTTCACGTGCTTAATACAGTTTTCCCATTTTTGCGCTGCTATTAATTCTAGTGCTTCTTTGAAAAGTCCTTTGAGGTCACAAAATTTAAAAGTTGTATTGTGCTTAGCTATATAATTTTTAACCTCTGCCCATATGAGCTCAATGGGATTCAGCTCGCAATGGTATGGAGGTAAACGGAGCACAGTTTTATTTTGACTTGCTGCCATTTCGTCAATGGCGTATTTTTGATATTCCGCCTTGTGATCCTTGACAATTCTTAATAATTGTACTTTCAGCATTGCTTCTTCAAAGTTGATATTTTTCGAGCGGAGCCAATTTTGAACATCAACTTTCCTTGAAGCCGTTGTTGGGACCTTCTCCATTCTTCGAGAATGATAAGGCGCATTATCCAACACAATTACTGCGTTTTCCTCTAAGTTCGGTAAAATTTTTGAAAACCACTGTTCAAACGATTCGCCATTCATTTCCTCGTGGTAATCTCCAGTTTTCTTAGACTCAAAGCACCACAGACCGTCAACAACAAATCCATCCTCACTACCAATATGGCAGATAATGAGCCTTTTCCCTTTACCTGGAAATCGAAGTACTAACTGGTGTAGATTTATTTCAATAATCGAACCCTTTTCAAACGTTTTCATCACATTCAGCGAAAAAACATTAAGACATGAGTATCAGATTGCTATAATTGGGATTATTTAGTCATATTGAAAGAAAGAATATTGAACGTCGTATGATTACTCAGCGCTTCACAATTTAATTTAAAGTTATAAACCTTTACAAAATGAATGATCAGGAACCTGAAATACGCGCAAATATTAATATTAACAAATTGTAACTTTATAAAGCTTACAGTATGGATTAAAATGATTAGAAATATTAGGAACGGTACACAATATAAAACTTAGTAACTTTTTTTAAGTTTATAATATTCGACATATTTTAAGATTATATTAAAAAATTATTGAAATATCGAAAAAATATAAAAACATGGCTTAAAAAAGTTCTAACAAATGAAAATGACAATAAAACATCCACGCATTTTATCGAAAGTTATAAAAGTTTTGTTACTTGTAATATGTTTTATCTGCCCCCTGGAATTAATGTTTAGAACCTTGTTCCCAAGGTTTGAAAAACATCCGATTGTTGTCTATTACTCGTATTTACCTGCTGGATTTTTTAATCCGGTGGACAGTCCATCTAGAAAGGCCCTCCTAGATGAAGTTACAGAATCATCAACCCATACTTTACTTCTAGTGTGTCCTGCGTTTACCCACGTTTCATCAAGGTAATAAATCTTCCTGTTTTGATTTCTATATTTCCCAATTTTTGTTAAATAATCCCTCCTCCATAGCACAATTTCTTCTCTATCCAGTAGTAAACTATTACGACTCTGTTCTTTCCATTTGAAATTTAAATGCTTCAGTAACGCATGGAAAGTTGATCGTTTGAAATTTGGCAACGTTGTATCTCCATGTACCTGCAGTACTTTATCTATAGTAGGTATTTCATTCCTAAAGAAGAATTCATGCACTTTCCTCCTAATCGCATGCTTATCAGCTTCATCCAATGATTTAACAATACTTTTGCGATGTTTACTGGTCATTGGCTCAGAAAAGGTGTGATTTTTTTTGTATTGTCTTAACACATTAAACACTGATGCGCGACACACCCCAACTTTGTGAGAAACCTTCACAACAATTTCTTTGATGGTTGATGCCTCGTTCTCCTCGCGCTCGATCTTATATATATTCAAAATGACCTCTTTCATTTCTGGACTCAGGTGTCTTTTTTTAGAGCGTTTCCTAGGTGGACTACAGGAGTTTACAACTTCATCGGCAGTATCTGTACTACTGGGCATTTTGCGCAAGCAGTTGATAACAATAACAATCAATAACAAGGTATAACAATAAGAACGACAAACTCAACAACTTAATAAGATAACAAACGAAAACGTCCAAAGAAATATCAAATTGCAATGATGCACACGACATACGTAACACGTCTGAACCTGAATGTGACTCTGCCTTGATACGACTGCTCTGCCGCTCGGCATAGGCATTTAATTGCGAATTGACCAATGAGGGCTCCTGTTTTACGTCGAGACGGCGGCGTTAGCGTGAAAATCACCCGAACCTTTTGTTTACATCCGGTCTATCTCTTATCTGAATATACTGTAGTGATGTATGCTAAGTTAGAAATTAGTTACGCATCCACTTCTTCTTATTCGTCCTGGAAATTACATAGACTTTGCTGAATTTCGAAAATGCGAGAGATAAGATATGCCACAGACAGGAATATTTATGAAACGTGGTAAAGTTATTACATTTTACATTTTTTTAATTTTCAGTCATATAAATTTTATATAGATATATAGATATGTGTGGCACTGCGAAAATGTTCTGTGATGTCGTTTAATTACAAACAACGCGATCGCTGTGGTGATTTCCCGTAAGGCTCCTGAAAGTTGTTGAAATCGTAGGGAAAACGGGGAAAATCTTAATTTATAACTTTAAGCATAACCTCTCTTCAAAAAGACCAACACAAATAACTCGTCTGGCACAGCTACTAAATATACTTCATGGGCAGCATATTCAGTGTAATAACTTTCTCACATAGCAAATATCACTGATTTTATACAAATGAAGACCGATACGCACAATCATCCAGATGCGATCTTCCTAGATTCTGCAACCAACAAAGCATGCTGAGGAACCGACTTCCAGCTGGTCATTGAGTGAGTCGTTGAGTCATTACTCCACAGATGACGCTTTTGGGGTCGTTCACAGCACTCATTACGAACAGTAGCGAGGTGTTTTATACTCGATTAGACTTTTTATAGGTTTTATTAAGGGTTCAGAGTTCACACGAGATTTTCTCATACCTATCAAACTGGACTGTTCTTATTACTGTCCGCGCCACATAGTACAACTGTCACTTGTCAAAGCACAAAGCACAGACACTTAAATAATACAAACTCGAATTATCTAGTCAGCAAGTTTATATTCTGTCATTTTTATACATTGTATATATAGGTTTCTGTACATTTTAAATAAACAATTTCTTCACGGATTTATTTCGATTTCTTCAAGGTCATCCTCATTATGTTTTTGGGTCTTTATATCAATCGACACATTCATGGACAGGTCAGTACGCAGTGCTGCCAATCACACAACAACTTCTTTCTAGAAATATTTTGAGTTTGGTATCAGCGCTATTTTCTCTTATTTAGCATCTAAAATTCTATTATCTCCTTTGTTTTCTCAATCTTCGCAATTTTAGAAGGTACAGGAGATACCTTTCACCATTTCACTTATTCTCCGATATTTGGAAATGCATTTTGCTCTTCATACAGCTCATTTAAATTTAACTGAGATCCCTCGGTAGGTAAGGAAATATGAAGCAACGTCGCCAAATTTACCGTATTTGTGACTAGGTAGGTACTCAAATAAAAAGCTCTGCTTATTCTGTTGTCTCCATTTTTTTTCTTCTACCACCAGCATCCCTGTGCACTTTACTCTTACGTTTTCCATCATAGCGGTCCCGTATTTTCCAACGTACCTTTTTATCATGGAGCTTTCCCGTGTTGTGTGAATTAAAGCGCAAAAGAACGAGGAGTTTTACGCCTTTCCGAGAGACAGAAGGGAAATGGTTAATGAAGGCAACGTATATAGCATACAAATAGTAGAGCCACTTTATGATCAAGGCAGTTGCTTTCAACGTATGTCCGACAAAAAGACAGCCGAAACAGAACACGTACACAGCGCTTTTCAAAAAGCTTATTTTTTGAATGGATTGAAGTAGCAAGATGAAATTATCCTTGAATACTATATTTTAACGTAAAAGTCACAGGAGAAAATTTGGAAATGGCAGATGGCGCCATCTTGGAACATTTTCTCCCTTTGAAGGACTAGTGATCCAATTCAAGGTTTTTGCTGAATAAACTTTCGAAGTTTTATCTTCACCGACCAATATAACCGTTAATCGGGCTGATGATGTCGACTAATCCCGCTTGACCTGCTAAATCAACTTTGCGGGATTAATTTTACCGGACTAAAACCGTTAATCCGCCTTATTTTCAAACAGATGACATTACCTTGCAGACGATTCGGAGCTCGAACACGAAATAAGCTTTTAATAAGTAAGTAATTTTACTGTTTTTTGTATGTATACTGTCTGTATACCGTTTATGCAGCTAGCCGCTTGTTGCAAAAAACTATATGAGATGGAAAATTACTCTTTACCAACTGTCGTACTGTATTAATTTTGCTGCCTTACATTAATTTCAATATTTGGTGGATGTGCGCTCAAGGTATATTACATAGCACATGCAACATTTTTCATTAATGTTCTATATTCGTCACTGTACCTGTACAGCCACTGTACTATGGAGCATTGCGCGCCACCTACCATTCAGACATATAAGCTTTAAACAGACTGTTGAAGAATTCTACACACACTTGGCTCAACCTTAAGACTTCAGTCGGAAGATGGCAGAACGTACGAGTCGCGATTCCATTGCTCAGTGTGCAAATAGGTGGGGCTCGAGTCATCTGACCATCCGTCTCTTTTTGTATTGGTCAATGTTATGATGCGGGGATCCTACGTTTATCTGACAGAAGTGGCGTTTAGTCGTTAGGTTATGTTTATAGTGTGCTTACCTGTTTATAAACCTTCTTTCTGAACATATTTCGGATATAGTAAAGCTGCGAATTTTCCAAAAATATGGCTAGAGGGTAAGGCCTTCTTCCTTAAAGATTCTGTCACCTACACTACAAATTATCTAATAGGGTGCAAACTTCTATGTGCCTTGGGCTTCTGTAACTACTATTGGTTCTTCCAGTTTTTAACGGTTTATTGACATTTACAGACGCGAAAGAAGTAGAAGTCCAGACAGAAAACGCAGGCGGTCCAGATCTAGGAGCAAAGACAGAGCCAAGGCAAGCAGGTACCGAAGAAGGAGCAGGTCTCGTTCTAAAGAACGAGAGCGACGGGATCGAGACCGTAGATCTTATAGCAGGGAACGAGATAGGGACAGAGATCGGGCTAGAAGGTATACAGTATTATTGAACCAACTGCAAATTTGTAGAGGAACTGAATAATGGTTGTCTAGTAAATCAAAGTAGAGATCTTCATAGCATCTTTTTCTTAAAAACTATGTCCAGGGCCCCACCAGCTCTTGGGATGTTAATTTGTATCAGATGACGAATAGACATGCATTTATGTAATGTAGCTTTGTATTTTCTCAACTATCTATTCATTATTTGTAATGATTTTTCTGGTATGATATGATCATTGATTTTTGTTATATTTGCAAATAAGGAAGTGGTATTCATTATTGTGCCTTTTTTGTAGGAGTGCAGAAAGGAAGGGATGGAAATCAAGTAGGCATAGGTCCCGTTCAAGGTCAAGGTCAAAAGAAAAAACCAAACAAGAGGAATCTGCATTATCGTTTGATCCTACTAATCTAGATAAGGTAAGATACTTCTTTTAATGGTTCATATAGTTGAAAGGGATTATAGGCTCTGTAAAGGTGGGCGTAATTAGAGAATATTACTTTTATTTCTCTGATTTGGTCAAAATTAATCAGTAATTACTAATATGCAAATGACCAAAAATGGTAACAGGTAGATCTGAAATTAGTAAGCAATTTTTTAAGGTATCTTTAGGTGTAAGAATCCTAATTATTGATGACCAGTTTATCCAGTGGCGTAACTACCTTGGGTGGCATCCTGTGCGGAAATTGTTGTGGTGTCACCTCAAATCAAACGCAATAAATTTTAGATAATAAGTTTTTATCCTACATCACACAATAAATCAGAAATGTATACTTAATGAACACGTATCCGGAGGCATAAATGCTTGTTACTTATGACCTTTGGTCGAGAGTTGCATTAAAAGAGGAACATTGCAAATTTTTAAAATCCTAAGATCCTTCTTAATCACATATTGTGTTTCATCAATTCACCCTAGCCTCTAGCTCAGCTACTCAATAATGATGTAAATTCTAGGAAGAAGAACAGAAGAAACTAGAAATGGAAATGCAAAAGCGACGTGAAAGAATAGAAAGGTGGCGGGCTGAAAGAAAACGAAAAGAACAAGAACAGTTGAAGAAAGAGGCAAAGGAAAAAGCTAATGCTTCAACTCCTACAGGAACCATAAAGAAATGGTCTTTAGAAGATGATTCAGAAGATGAAGACAAAAATGACAAGAGTGAGAAAGAAGAAAAATCAGATAGTAAGGAATCAATCGAGAAGATGGAAATTGATCAGCCTGTGAAAGAAGTAGTTGAAGAAAAGCCAAAACCTGCAGAAGAGAAAGAAGAGGAAGAAGACACACTGGATGAGTTTATGAAGGGAGTTCAAGCTGAGGTTAGAAAATGTTCATATTCATTCATTGATTTTCGTATCTCATGTAAGAATCATAAAATTGACATTTTGACTGTGTGTCTTAATTTCACCTTCCTTGGAACAATCTTTATTTAACTTGAATCTATCTACTTTTTTTTTCAGGTAAGAAAAATCAACAAGGTAGACTTGAAAAAGAAACCAGGTGATCCAAAAAGCACATCTCTGGTCATTGTCACGGGTGTAGCAAAATCCAAAGCTAACAAAAACAAAGGAGAACTGATAGAACAGAACCAAGATGGACTGGAATATTCTTCTGAAGAGGAACAAGAAGACCTTAAAGACACCGCTGCAAACATTGCCAACAAACAAAAGAAAGAATTGGCTAAGATTGATCATAATAATATAATGTATATGACTTTCAGGAAGAGTTTTTATGTTGAGGTGCCTGAGATTGCCAGGATGACCCCTGACGAGGTGGAAGCTTATAGAACGGAGTTGGAGGGCATTAGAGTAAAAGGTAACTAGCATATTTTTGTTCTTTTCAGTTAGGTAAGAACCAGGATTGCCATGATTGCTACATACAAATTTTAACGGACAGTCTCGGGAACTTTTCGCATCAGCGAGTCTTCGGCGATCTAGCTTTCTTCTATCGCTATGCCAACGGGTATTGCTCCTTAGAGCTCTCCTCCATCATGCCGCTGCGCGACAAACTCGCATTGACTTCGCTCTCCCATCGTAACTCTATCGAATTTGTACATCCAGAACTGGTCGATACGACCGCTCCTTTGCCCCTAGGTCGTGGAGATTGTGGAACAATCTACCCAAATAGGCTTTTCGAAGTTCTCCTAATTTTAGGCAGTTCAAATCCAGTTAACACTTCGCGCCTGCTTCGATATAAAAAAAATCGTAAAATTCAGATAGCTTACGTGCCGTGAACGCCCTCTATAGACGAACGTTAGAACGGCTGTTTTGTTGTAATTTACCTAAATCACTGCAACCCGTATTACACTGGCATGGTTTGTGGGTTGCAGGCTCGTAGGATACTACATGGAGTATACTTGTGGAACAATATGTGATGGAGGAAATATGACCAAAGACCGAATTTAGCTGTTTTTCTGCGCAATGACGGCAATGAATGCAGGTTTAATCCCATTTAAACTTTGATTCCAATGTGCAAACATTATTCCTATATTATTCTGTCTATGAGCCGGAGAGGGTATAATACAAGCCAAACGCATGTCACTGGCGTCATATAATTCCAAATTAGGCAAACCATGTAGGTACTGGTGAAAAGGAATCGCAAGCTGAGACTTTGAATCGCAGTTATAGAGGGTGTCCGGTACATAGTACGACAAAAAAATAGGGACAATAGGCGAAGCGTAGATCTACAACATATCAAAAAATGACCCTAGTAAAAGTTTTATTGTTTTTGAGATATTAATTTTTTTGTTTCTCTTTTTTTTTAATCTATATTGTTTTGCTGTGCCTAGAAATATCAAGGTATCTCTGTTTGCTTTTTTTTCAAAATTTTGTCAGGTATACTACAACTATTTAAAACTGTAATGACTCATACGCGTGATCAGAGCTCGATCCCGGCTTCCTTCCAGTACAGCCGTATAGCGTACGACATATGTCGTTTCTGTGGCTTTGCGGTGGTCAACAGCACAGACAGAGATGGAAATAATGGCTGATTGTTCTCCGCCGGTAGAACCAATGAAATCAAAGACGCGCCTCGACCGGCAGACTCATAGGCGTCGGCAACGCATTGGAACGTGTTTCGTTGAGCGATCGCATATTGTGTGTTTTTATAAGAATTGTTGTGTGATTGTTATTGTTGTGGTTTCTGTGGTTACTGTTTTGGTTATACTTAACCATGGAGAGTACAAATGGCACGAGTGGAAGTACTGAAAGCCAGGGAACAAGTAGACGGCTTCGTAAAGCACTGAAGAGGGACGCGAAAGAAATCGTGCTCAACGTGTTCAATTATCTGAACAGAACTATGTCGCAGGGAGACGCACTCGCGCGTTGTGAAAGTATGACAGGCGTTCCAGAGTGGACCATTCGCAGGGTGGTGCATGAAAAGAAGAAAACTGGAGCTACTACTGATCCAAAGTTTAATTTGAAGGGACGAAAGGCCGTTAAATTGGATGACGATAGCAAAATGGCGTTAAGGCGAACCGTACATTCATTCTTTAGGAATGAGATACCAACCCTCAAGGCTGTACATGCAGCGATCAAGGAAAATGAAATTATACCCCAAATGAGCGTCGAGGTAATGAGGAAATCCCTGCACGAAATTAATTTTCGTTACGAAACGCGTAATCGGAAGTCAGTATTGATAGAGAGACCTGAAATAGTCGCCTGGCGTCGAAAATACCTACGCAAAATGATTGAATATAGGCGACAAAGCAGAAAAATCTATTATTTGGACGAGACATGGGTAAATGCAGGTCACACAGTTAAAAAAACCTGGATAGACAAAAACGTAGTGAGTAACCGACAAGCAAGCATTGAAGGTTTGTCAACAGGTCTTCGTGGACCGTCAGGGAAAGGTCAAAGATTGATCGTAACTCATATTGGTTGCGATAGTGGCTTTTTAGAAGAGTGTGACTTCATATTCGTCTCTAAGAAACGAGGTTATTACCATGACGAAATGAATGCCAGCTGCTTCGAGAGCTGGTTTCAAGGGGTGCGTCAGCGAGTTGAGCCCAACTCTGTGATCGTCATGGATAATGCTTCCTACCATAGTCGTCGAGCCGAACGTGTACCGACTATGGGATCTCGAAAAAGTGACATGCAGCAATAGTTGCGCGAAAAAGGAATCCCGTTTCACGATTCATGTGTGAAAGCGGAATTGTATGAAAAAATTAAACAGCACAAACCTGCGAACATTAGTTACGTGACTGATGAGATGGCCCGTCAATGTGGTGTCACTGTGCTGCGGTTACCGCCCTACCACTGTGAACTGAACCCAATAGAGCTCATGTGGGCTCAAGTGAAGGGTTATATTGCGCGCCATAACACAACCTTCAAATTACCAGACGTTAAGGTTTTACTTGAGACTTCCATACGGCTAGTAACGCCCGAAGCTTGGCAGAATGCTATCCGTCATGTTGTGAAGGAAGAAACAAAAATGTGGCAGCTTGACCACCACATCGACACCATCATAGATCCAGTTATAGTCAATTTCAACGAGGAAAGCGATAGCGACAGTTTATTACTTTCAGACAATATGTTTCAAACCACTCTTTATTAAGCATGTGACAAATCTAGTTCACCCATGTTAAACATTCATACCCCGCCTATTAACAACCGACTACTGGTAGTTAAGTGATGTTCACGTGAACATCGATGAGTCATTACAGTTTTAGATAGTTATAGTATAGTTGAACTGCTATTTGAAATATATTTTCCGATAAATACAAGTAGGTAAACTTGACAAACTAATTTCTTCTTCGTAATTTTTATTTTAGAAAACTATTTTACTCAACTGAGGGAATTAAGCAATGAAATAAAAAATGTACTAGACTGCTACTGCGAAGTATTGCGATAAGTTACATTAGCAACAAAGGGTAGATCAAATGATAAAATTTTTCGAAAAGGAGAAAAAAAAATTAATATCGCAAAAAAGTGAAACTTTTACTAGGGTCATTTTTTGGTTTGTTGTAGATCTGCCTTTCGCCTATCTTCCCCATTTTTTTGTCGTCCTATTTACCAGAGACCCTGTACAGGGTGACTTTGAAGTTGAGTCATAAATTTTCAGATAATGATTGTAGAAGGAAGATAAACCAAAATATGTGTGTAAAAATAAACGACAAGTATTTCAGTGCGGACCTGTATTTGATCGTGCGGTCTTGGAGCACTGGCATGCCCTCCCCTGTGAGGTCTTAAGTCACCTGATTCACGAGCCCTTTGTACTACATTAACAAAGGCACCAGGGGCTGGTTGCACTCGATTGGGAAACCGATCCGCATAAATCCGTGATGCCGCGGCAGCATTTTGTAAAGACTCCCCCCCCGTAAATAAGAATCATGTCCACAAGTTCAGCATTTTCGTAAACATGTGCCATTTTTTATTTCGTTTGAGGCACGCAACAAACACCACTATTCACTCACGCGTCACCGACTGACACATTGACAGAATACAACTGAATAAAATTGTAGTAAAAACATCGTGATAAGCGTTTCAAATTCTTTCGCTTTTTTGTTTCCGATGCGATGAACCGATTGTTGCCAAACACGAGCACATAATATTATTATTGAGACAGGGCGGTACTCAAACTTCTAAAGGGCTATAACTTTACTTTAATTTTACCAGAAAAATGTTAAAGGAAAAAAACATTTCTTTTGATCACATCTACTCACTGTTAAAATAAATGACTCAACTTCGAAGTCACCATGTATAATAATGATAGTGGTGTTTTTAGGAACAATTGAGTTTCCGTTTCACTCGAACGATTTTGTTATTTTCAGGCAAGGGCTGTCCAAAACCAATAAAAACGTGGGCGCAATGCGGCGTATCCACCAAAGAACTGAACATACTGAAAAAACTAGGCTTTGACAAACCTACCCCGATCCAAGCTCAAGCAATTCCAGCCATCATGTCAGGAAGAGACTTGATCGGTATTGCAAAAACAGGAAGTGGAAAAACACTGGCGTTTCTACTTCCGATGTTCCGGCATATACTGGATCAACCGCCGCTGGACGATACTGATGGCCCTATAGCGATCATAATGACTCCTACTAGAGAACTGTGCATGCAGATCGGAAAGGATATAAAGAAGTTTTCGAAAAGTTTGGGCTTGAGAGCTGTTTGTGTGTATGGCGGTACCGGGATCTCCGAGCAGATTGCCGAGTTGAAAAGAGGTAAAATAGAAAATAATATTTTTTCTGTGACGGTTTGACATTTTATCTCTGTTGACGGGTGACAAAATGTCACTTTTTATGAAATTACTTTTTTGTCCGGGAAAAAATGAGTACTTTTTTCTCCGATATTTTTATTTATTTATTTATTTAATAACAATAACATCCAGCAAAAACCATATACAAAAATTATAAATACACATAAATATATAACTCAATAATATAATTCCTCTTGATCAAGGACATCCTGATGACAGAAAGATGCACCTAGATGGTTCAAACCACCTGTATGCGCTTTCATCATCCGGACTTACAAATGAAAAGAAAATGCTATTTATTGGATTATAAAATACAATAAAAAAAAACAATATCCAAATACCTCAATATCCCGAACACTAGTTCAATCACACTATGATACAAAAAATCATTAGAAAAACCTTTCAAATTGTGCAGTATTCTCAAAAATATATTCTCTGCAGCTGGTGCTAAATGTTTTAATATTTGTCATCTTTTTCAAGTGTTCTGGCAAAATATATATCTTTGGTCCTATATACGTTATGTATCTTAAGTTTAGGTTATTGTTATTCTTGGGAATTTCTATTTGCCTACCCACATTTGCACGAGTACAGTAGTTATGACTTACTTGTTTCTGTAGTTTTTCATTTCTATAAATAAAAGTAGATACTGTCATCACGTTCAAGGATCTAATATTACACACATCCTTTGTAAAAAGTTTATTGGTGGGGAATATTTTATCTTTCTTAAAAATAATTTTAATAATATATTTCTGAATAATAATGAGTTTATGTAGAGCATTATTATACAATCCCCCCCCCCATACTAATATCCCATATCTAATTATAGATTCAATAAATGCTTTATAAACTGTTATTAAATTTTTTTTTATCGAGAAAGTCACGCAGTAGATAAAATTTATGGATTAATTTTCTAACTCTATCGATTCATAATCAACATGCGGCTGCCACTTTAAATGTTGGTCAATAATGATTCCAAGATATTTAGTTTGAGATACTTCCGTGTATAAACACATAAGCAAAGGAAGATGTTTAATTTTAGAACATTTTATTATACAATAAAGTTACATTTCCTTTAACTACAAAGTACAATTATTAATGTGCATTGCATGTGAATGACACGTTCCTTGAACTATTCGGTACAACAGTGGAATTTTCTTGTGTAGAAATTGTATGTTTTTCTGCCATCACAAGTTTCGTTGATGTACTTGGTCGCAAATCCGGTGTTATTTCAGCACTACCACACGTTCTAAACACTTTATGAGCTATTTCTGTCCTGTCCATTCAGCGACCGTTGATGACTTCCAACAGCCATTCTTTAGTGTCATCAGTCTCCCCTAGATTAAACTAAAGTGTAGCAGACGATCATCGAAATGAATGACCTGTATATGAGTTAGCATTTTTGAGTTGAAGAAAATTAGCCACTGTTTCGGGAACCTTATAAAACTGGTTTTTACCCACAACCTGATTGATACATTTTCCATTGTGCTATGCATAAAACAGGCAGCGATCCTTTGCTGTTGCTGGACAAAGGGCTATGTACATCGATAAAATTTAATATATTTTTCAGTAACTAAAAATCTCCTGTTTACATCATTTTTTGTTTCCTTAAGTTTCACAGTTAATAACGTTCCCGAATCTTCAATATCATCTAATGTTACCTGGCTGATTTCACAAATCCCAGATACAACAACCTTGACCATTAAATAAATTTCATTGGGAGCATTATTTAAAAAATCACTAATTTGAGTACTCGTAAAAATCGCAGCTTTCTTGGGCTTGTAACCTTTCCCATTTTATTGCAGAAATGTAATTAATTTTAAATATTTTGAAATAAAAATTATTATTGGATGGTAACATACTTTTGATCAGTGACTAATTCGACCACACTGTTGATGGCTTTTGTTGTTGTGCCATCTCCGAAAAATATGAATATGCGGTTACGTAAATTTTCCGCGATTTAGCTGGCAATAATTTTTGTGGCGCTGCTTTGGCTACTTCTACTAATTCCGGTGTCAAAGAAAACTCAGAATCAGATATTTTTCACTATATAGTATTAAAAATAGCTTCTAAACAACCACTTAGTCCACAATTTTTAAATTAAATCACAAAATTAAATTGACAGCTATTTGATTAGGTATTTTAAAAATTTCATAGCCTACTAATTTCAAATTTCACATTGATCATTTTCTGACTTATTGTAATAATATAAGTTTTCAATGTTAAATCGACGTTTTTCCCGTCACAGAAAAAAATTGTGTATTATACAAGTGAAAAATACTAGATTTTAGTTTTCGGGAGTACTTTTTTCCTTTGTATAATAAATAACTATTTTTCTGCAGACAAAGTTTGTATAGAAATCGTCAATATAGCAGCTACAACAGATACATAACAAAACCACAAATAAAACAAGATAATAAACAACATTTAATGTAGTGTAGTGTTTAGTTTATATTGTTCCCTTCCTTTTTATATGTTTTATACTATGTATATTTCTGTTAAATCTGCCTAAAATAATTTGACCTTTTTCATTATATTATATTTTTTGTATAATTCCTTTATATATATTATACAGGGTGTGCGCAAAGTTGTGGTTTTCCTTTTCAGAAACAACTACCCTTGAAATAACAAAGGTAATGTGTAGTGAAACGAGGGCGACCAAGTAAAAAAAAATAAAGGAAAAAGTACTCACTCTCCAGTGGACGAGAAGGGCTAAGTACGTCTTTGCCCGAAATCATACCGCTCCAACAGAAAATGAAATCAGCTGATGCGCTACCGAGCAGACGCAGAAACCACATTGATTGTCTTACACTTAATGGCACATCTTCTAACAAGGAAGGCAAAATGTTGCGTAAAAAGTCTAGGTATTGCATCCCGTTCAATCGATGTATGAGAATAAATGGTCCATTGAGCATACCGTTCACCATGCCAGCCGAAACATTCACCGAAAATGTTTGTTGAAAATGTGCCCGACGGACAGCGTGCCGATTTTCTACTGACCAAACATGAGTGTTGCGATAGTTATTCACCCCATTATGCGTGAACGTAGATTCGTCTGTCACCAATATGCACTTCAAAAAGTCCGGATTTTTGTCATGTTGATGCAACAACCACTCACAAAACCGCACTCTTGCTGGAAAATCGTCAGGTTGAAGGACTTGTACACGTTGGACGTGAAACGGATACAGCCCCTCTTCACGCAGCGTTTGCCACACTTTAGTTTTTGATACTTGCACTTCTCTAGCCACGTCTCTAGTGCTTGTTGAGGGATTCTCGTCTACGCGATTACCTCTACACGCGTGACCGAAACCGTCGGTTGAAGGTTGCATACTGACCTGACACACTGACCCCGACCCAGTTCTGTCGTCGGGTTGAGCCAGTGACCTTGTACCAGTCGGTGATGTCGCGACTACAGGACGGTATTCAGATATTTTTGATGTTGCAGAGCCCTTTATCTCGGTTCCCTTAAGACATTGGTATATATGGTACTAAGAAAAATTGCTTATGTTTTCAAGATCTACACGTCGTGTAAAGGAAAACCCCAACTTTGCGGACACCCTGTATATTTTTTTGACGCTTGTAATTATCATTTTTCATATTAACTCATAAAACTCCTCAGTTGTTATTTTCTTTGTTGGGCTTGTACTTTGATCGCTTGTCAGTGTCTTTTCTCATTCTTGATTTTTTTCTTTATATATTTTTTCTCTGCAAATAAACGCTATTATTGTTATTTCCACTTTGAAATGAACGTTACCAAATACCAAGTCAACAATTTTGATTTTCTTATTCTTCCAGGCGCCGAGATGATCGTCTGCACCCCAGGGCGCATGATCGACATGCTCGCAGCCAATAGCGGCAAAGTAACGAACCTGCGTCGCGTGACGTACGTCGTCTTGGACGAGGCAGACCGGATGTTCGATATGGGATTCGAGCCGCAGGTGATGCGCATAGTGGACAACATCCGTCCGGACAGACAGACTGTCATGTTCTCGGCCACCTTTCCTAGGCAGATGGAGGCGCTCGCGAGGAGGATATTGCAGAAACCTATCGAGGTGCAAGTCGGTAAGAGACCTGGCAATTTTATGGGTGTTATTATTATTATATTATATTATAAAATGTGGGTTGCTTAACAAAAAACTTGTGTGCCTCTGTGATTCTGTTTTTTTAAAGTTGTTTCAACAGTTTTAATGTGATATAAAATTGGAAAAAAACGTAATTTTTTTGTTCAAGATTTATTTAGCATCATTGCTACATTAAATTCTTTTAAAAACTACAGTTACATAACATACAAATTAAAGAATAGAACAACAAAACTTGCATCTCTAAGAATTTTCACTGTCCATGAAATGATCCTTCATTTTTTAAATATCTTTAAATTGCAAGTAAACCTTATATCATTATTTAGTTTATTAAATTCAAGTAATCTTTTCTGAAATACCGAATTCCTAGTTATACAGGGTGGGCCATGAATTAGTTAACATTTGAAAAAATCGTTTGAAAAAAAACATTTGACGTATTTTAAAAATTGTTTACTCACAAGAAAGCTAATTAGTTGGAATTCATTTTTTTAAAACGATATCATCTAAATGACCACCGTTACGATTTTGGCACTCTTCTAAATGTGTACCGAAGTTTTCGAATACTGCGAGATTGACGACATCTCTTCGTTGACGGAGTGTACTTGGTTTATTGATGTAGACACGACTTTTTAAATAACCCCATAAAAAAGTCTGGTGGGGATAGATCTGGACTTCTGGGTGGCCATGGGATGTCGCCTCGTCTGGAGATGAGCTCTTCCGCAAACATTTCTTTGACCACCGACAGGAACCCGTTTGATGTGTGACACGTGGCTCCATCTTGTTGAAACCAGGTGTTACGATTATAGCAAGCAAATTCCAGTAGCATCGGTGCCAAGAACTTCCGTAACATTTTCACATACTCAGCAGAATTGATAGTAACTGAATGGCCGCGAGAATCTTCAAGAAGTAGGGACCAACGATTCCTTTTGCTGAAATTGCAGCCCATACAATTACTTTAGGAGAGTAAAGTGGCTTCTCGTGTTTAGCTTTGGGATTTTCGCTGCTACAGTACCTGCAATTCTGTTTATTCACATGTCCGTTGAGGTGGAAATGGGCTTCGTCAGAAAATAAGAGATTGTCAAAAGAACTGAATCGAGCTCACATCGTTTTAGTTAGGTTTTAGTTCTTGCACTATCTGGATCTTATATGGATGTAATTTCAAATCTAATCTCAAAATACGGCGTAATGATGTGCGGGATAAGCCTAACTCAGCCGAACGTTTGCGCGTCGATAAATCTGGATGACGTTGAACAGAAGCGGAAACTTGCTGCACGGTCTCTTCGAACTTCTTCACCCATTTCTGGAAATATGACATCCGGTAAATGGCAACCACGAAACCTCTGGCATAGGGCCAGTCTTTTCTTATAATTCTGGATAACGTTTTCGCACAACTGTGGCTCTTCTTCGTCGATAACGCGCCGTATCTCTTATTTAAGGCGTTAGATCGCACGATCTTGGGGGCCAATTTTGATCGCCATACCGAGATACGACACGGTCTGGAAACTTGGTCCGCAGTAACACCATTTTTCGCGTGTTGTGTGGCAGGTCGCACCGTCTTGTTGGAAGAGTATATCCTCCACATCAATTCGATCCAACTGTGGCCACAAAAACTCGGTTAATATTTCGCGATACCGCATACCATTAACAGTTACCGCAGTTCCAGCTGTGCCACTCCACAATGCGCACCAAACATCAACTCGCGACGGATGCATTGGTTGTTCGATTATTACCCGCGTGTTCGTAGAACCCCAAATTCGGTAGTTCTGCTTATTGACGTACCCGTTCAGTTGAAAATGTGTCTCATCAGAAAAAATTATTTCACAGATCAATTTGGTGGTGCTCCAGCGCCAATCAACGTATTCACGGCGCTGCGCATGGTCCGTTGGCTTGAGTTCTTGCGTCAGTTGAACCTTGTACGCATGCAAGCACAGATCTTTTGTCAAAATTCGTTGCACAGTGGGTCTAGTAAGGTTCAATTCTTGCCCACGATGCCGAATGGAAGTGCCTGGATTCTCGGCCACACTTGCAGTGCACTATATTTCGAGGACGGCGACGAACAGTGGTCTTCACGCTCAGCAACGTGAATTTTGTCTGAAATTTTGTAATTAAACGGCGAACTATCGACTCATCTGGTGCATTATTTTCACCGAAAATTGTACGTAATTTGCGAACTGCTTCCGCGTAATTATCTCCATTTTTGTAGTGAGTTTTCACAATAATTAAACGTTGCTCGTTTGAATACAGCTCCATGATGTCTAATCGCGTGGTCTGGCCATGACAGCTGTCATCAAGTAAACACTATACCATTTGTACAAAAAAAAATGGCGGCAAATTCAAATCGTGTGCTCCGGTTGAGACACCCATAAGCGTTTTGCGCGAAGGTCCAAACGTGTTAAAAAATTCATACCACTTTACCTTTCAGAATCTTTAACATTTTCCTTTTTCTAGGTGGTCGTTCCGTTGTATGTAAAGAAGTAGAACAAAACGTCGTAATCCTCGAGGAGGAGCAAAAGTTCCTGAAGCTTCTAGAACTGCTCGGTATTTATCAGGAATTGGGCAGCATCATTGTGTTTGTGGACAAGCAAGAAAACGCGGACATTCTTCTGAAAGACTTGATGAAGGCCGGATACAATTGTCTCAGTCTTCATGGTGGAATAGATCAGTTCGACAGGGATTCGACCATCATCGATTTCAAAAGCGGAAAGGTAAGAGATAATATCAGATTCTTCTTGACTATAATCATCAATTAACGTGTCCTACAAGAAAAAAGTCATGAAATAACAGTTATTAATGATTTTGTACGACTTGATAATCTTATCTAAGATGAACCAGAGGGTGGAGTGTTACATTTACGGCACTTTTCAACTCAAACTAAAACAAAAACAAAGTCGAATTTAATTAAAAACGCACGAGTCCGTTATTCTAATTAAAATATATTTATGAATATAACAAAGTTTTTAGTCAGTATGAAACATATTACTTTAACAACATAACATGTTCTCTTCAAAATGCGCACCAGAACATTTTACCCATCGCAATATCACATGTTTTGTTTGTAAACAGTGCTTGAAATTGTCGCTGTTCGATTAAAAAAAAGTGAGCTTGTTTACCTGTTCCTGAATTTGCAACATTTGGAGCTGTCTGTAACTTCAACTGTGTTCAACCAAACGGCTTTTGCACGGTATAGATAAACGTATGCAGCTCTGATGGAAAGAAACATCGAGGACGACGGCGACGTTTTGATTAGACTAATGTGCCAGTTTCGGTTTTTCAAATGCGGTTTGCTTATAGACTAACCTAGACACCACGCGATGCCTGATTTGGATACTGACACTCACATAATCTTAGTGCAACACCAACGTCTTGATGTAGATAGTTATGGGAGGGGAGGGTGACAGAATCGTACTGTTTCATTTATCGCTTTTGGATACCTAATATCTCGGTTATTTTAAAGCTTGGGTGGCCCATATGTAACTGGTTTGTATCTTGAATATTTGTGAAATGAAATAAGTTAGGCCCATTTTTTCTTCTTGGTATTTTATTGAATTTTAGAAATTATGTATGAAAAATAGTATCAGACCAATGTCCGCCTCTAGAAGCCGCGCAAACCTGAGCCCTATTGATTACTTTTCGATCACTTTTTGGTAGGTTTCGGGAGGAACATTATCAATTCGGTAAAATTGTTGTTTAGCTGCTTACAGAGAAATTAAATGTCCCGGAAGTATTGCTCGCATGTTTTGAATGTTAAATTGAAGGATTTGCACCATATCACGGTAACGCTCGACAGTGATAGTAAGAGAATGTGCAGCGTTTTCAAACATCTCACCAAACTGTGACTGGACGACGATGTAGTGGTCGTTGATGGATGACACGAGGGTTCTCTAATGCCCTTGTCGGTAAAAATCGTTATTTTGGATATTAAGCTGCAATATAGCAAGACTGTATTGTCGGCGGCTTTCATGGTCACTAGGCTGTAGTTCTTGGCCTAACTGAATTTTGTATAACCGCAAATGCTATGTCTGTTTTTAAAATAGTGCATAATGACGTGCGACGAATACCCAGTTGTTTAGAACGATGTCTGGTAGACGTCTCAGGGCGCTCCACAACACTTCCACGAACTCTCTCGATATTTTCCGGAGTACGAACAGTTGGAACACGGCCCGACCGTGGCAAGTCTTTAACTTTACCGCACCAACTGACGAGTAGTGTTGATACTGGGCATATTGTCGTTGTACAAATCTTTGCTGTTGAATTACTACTATGCATATGTACAGTCAACTTTGTCATATGGCATAATAGCCTGGGGTGTTTCTACTGAAACGGAACGAGTATCTACTATGCAAAAAAGAATAATATGTTTACTTCAAGGTCTGAGCAGAAGGTCTAGCTGTATAGCCTCTTTTAAACAGCTGGGAATACTAACTTTGCCATCCATATACATTTTCGAGCTGTTGTTACATGTAAAGTCTAATTTAGATGATTTTCCGAAGCTGAACGACCATAACAAGTACTTAACAAGAAGTTCGCTTATCCTACAGGTTCCCACGTACAGATTATCTAGAACAGAATGCAGTCCGCATCAAATGGGTGTTAAGTTATTCAACAAATTGCAAAAAACCTTCAGGGCCCTGCCACACACTAATTTCAAATATGTAATTAAGGCTTTATTAAAAAGTAAAGCATATTACTCTTTGGATGAGTACTTGTCAGATACCCTAACAAACGGCCAGTAGGAGTAGTTCTGACAATATAGCTTAAAACAGTGTGTGATATTCTATCGTATATCTCAATTCAGCAGTTACCGTCCTTATTTATTTTATATTCTATGTTTTTTAATTTTATTTATTTTATTTATATAATTATCATATAGCGATATTTTAAACTGTGCCTTCCACGTTAAATTTACTTTCTAAAATAATTTTTTTTAAATATTTCAAACAATATTCGATGTAGATATAACAGTGAAAATTGGTATACAAGGGTTTTTTGGTACGACAAAACGAACCATGGGCATAGTTTTACTGTGGCCACTAGAGGGCGCTCTCTACTGTACCTGTAGTGTATTAAAATGACCGAAAATTTTTTCTTAGTGCAATTTTTTGCTTTTTGAATAAAAAAAATAATTCTTCGCACTTTTCAGCATAAAAAAGCTCTCTTATGAATTTTCGTTATAGTTAGCCGTTTTTGAGAGATTTCGATTTTTAAGGTTCTATGCATTTTTAATTATGTATGATAAAATAACGTTAAAAAGTCAGTATCTCGATAATTTTTAGAAGTAGGCTGTGCCTGCAAATGTTTTTGAAATTGAAAGCAGAATAAGGTTAAACGTCAATTAGTTGACAGTTAGTTTTGTTGTCTGTTGAAACCTGAAACGTTTTTTTGCAATGTGAATGCACGAAATTTAGTTTCTTTTACCTGTTTTTTTTTTGTCAGTTTTATAAAAATGCCATTTTTATTCCCCAATCAAGAGTTAGCGGATATTCATTTTGTGTATGGCTTTGTAAATGGAAACGCAAGATTTCCAAAAAGACGACATCCAACTCGCTCAGTATTTGTAAGAGTGCATCGCCAAATAATTGAAAATGGTTTTGGAAATCTCCAAGGGGATCAAAACATAAATGTTCGTCAGCGCAGATTTACCCGTATGATTCTGCGTGAGTTTGATAGAGATCCGACCACAAGTGTTAGGAGAGTTTTTGGTGCCTTGGGAATTTCAGCAAACCATGTTCACCGTGTTCTTAGAAATGACCATAGACGTCCTTACCATTTGCAACCTGTGCAAGGACTACAGCCAGGGGACGGAGAACGAAGAATCACATTTTTTCAGTGGATTCTTGATAGAACTGATAATAATAGGGAGTCTTTAAGTAACGTTTTATGGACCGATGAGTCATGCTTCACTAGACGTGGAGTGGTAAATTTTCATAATCAACATATTTGGTCGCATGAAAATCCGCATGCAGTTCGGGAAAGAAATTTTCAGCATGAATTTAGTGTGAACGTGTGGATTGGTATCTACGGTAATCGACTAGTTGGACCCTACCTTTTGCCTGCAAGGTTAAATGCTGCGACCTTCTTGGAATTTTTAAAGGCTGAACATGCAATTATGTGGGATGATGTTATGTTAGATTTAAGAAGATTGGCCTGGTTCCAGCTTGATGGTTGTACAGCTCATTATTCGAGAATAGTTAAAAACTGGCTGGACGAAAAATATCCAGAAAGATGGATCGGCCGTGGAGGACCAGACGCCTGGCCTCCACGATCCCCTGACCTAAATCCATTAGATTTCTTTGTGTGGGGATTTCTAAAAGAAAAAGTGTACCAGACTCCCCTAACCACAAGAGATATGCTAATAGACAGAATCAGGAATGCTTATGATGAAATAAGGCCTTATTTGAATAATGCTATACCACGTTCGATCATTCGTAGATGTGAATTGTGTATTGAACAATTGGGTTTACATTTCGAGCAACTACTTTAGATTTTGTATGTTTGTCCTAACTATCCAATAGCATTTTAGTTGTAAATAATTAATTTAATTTGTTAAAAATAATATTGGGTAATTAAACAAATTAATGTTCTGTTTTTTTGTGTTTATTTGGAGTTAGGAATTATTGCTGTGTTTAAAAACACAATCTAAACGATCATCTTAATTACTTGTAATGCCCATATCGAAAATGTAAAACAAATATTATTTTCCCATAAATATAAAAAATTAAAAATCGAAATATCTCAAAAACGGCTAACTATAACGAAAACTCACAGGAGAGCTTTTTTATGTTGAAAAGTGCGGAGAATCAGTTTTTTTATTCAAAAAGCAAAAAATTGCACTAAGAAAATTTTTTCGGTCATTTTAATACACTACAGGTACAGTAGAGAGCGCCCTCTAGCGGCTACAGTAAAACTATGCCCATGGTTCGTTTTGTCGTAGTAAAAAACCCTTGTATACCAATTTTCACTGTTATACATCAAATATTGTATGAAATATTTAAAAAAAAACTATTTTAGAAAGTAAATTTAAACACCCTGTATTTCGGAAGCCACTCATTTTTCGACCCATGTTTATATAGACTTTATGCATTAATTTTAAAAGTTCTATCGAATCTTAAAGTTATGCAACAATAAACTGAATCACCCTGTATATTGGCCACTCTGAATAACGTGCTTATTATGGCCTGGCCTATACAATCTGTAAAGGAAGATCACTACTTTGACGACCCCCATGTATATTAATGAGCGCTTATACTCGTGATTCTTGTAGGTGAAGCTATTGATAGCTACCTCGGTAGCTGCACGAGGTCTAGACGTAAAGCAACTGATCTTGGTCGTGAATTACGATTGTCCAAACCATTACGAGGACTACGTCCATCGGTGTGGCAGAACGGGTAGAGCTGGCAACAAAGGATTTGCGTTCACTTTCATCGTTCCCGAGCAGGCCAGATACGCTGGCGACGTGATCAAGGCCTTCGAACTGGCTACGGTTACGGTGCCAGAGCCACTCAGAAACATGTGGGACAATTACAAGGCTAAACAGGAGGCAGAAGGTAAGTTATGGCGCAGATTCCATTTTCCTTTCCTTTTAATTACGTCATGAGTCTTCCAAATAAAGATCTCCCTTCGACTTCCTTGGGGAGTTATTTTCGTTAAATGAAAGGTCGGAGGGAAGGGAAGATGACCCCCTCACCGTAGGTCTCCAGCGTTTCCGCTCACTTTGGGAATCAGGGATCTAGACATTAAAAGTATGGAGTGAAACGCCTTCGTAGTCGGGAAGGAATAGATAGCCAAATTGTTCCATACTAATAGTTACAACTGTGTACTTAGATTTCATCGTTTTTTTTTTCTGAACAGGTAAAAAGGTGCATACAGGCGGTGGGTTCAGCGGTAAAGGCTTCAAATTCGACGAATCCGAGGCAGCTGCTGTGAATGAGAAAAAGAAATTCCAGAAAGCTGCTCTGGGATTGGCGGACAGTGATGATGAGGATCTTGAGAACGATATCGACCAACAGATCGAAAGCATGTTCGCTACTAAGAGGACTGTCAAGGAAATCAAGGCGCCAGTCGGTGAGTTATTAGAATGTCTTAAGGGGGAACTCGGTATTGTTACGCAAACTCTCGTGGTATATTATAAACACATGATATATGTGTCGAACGCTGCTTACGCAAGATCATGTTAGGAATATATTTTTGTTATTTGAGACATACAATCTTCCGTGAATCTATCAATATACTGTTGCTTTTGAGTTCGTATTTATAATCGCCGCCAGAGTGTTGAGTGTTACTTAACAGATGAATGTACCATAAGTCGGTGACGGTGGTTTATTTCCTAGTTTATATTAATTTCTTTTTAGGATTAGTGAATCCAGCAACGATGTCGAACGCAGCGGCTTCAGCCGTCGACAAGTTGGAACTTGCCAAGCGATTAGCTTCCAAGATCAACCTGACCAAGACGACGACACTGGACACCAAATTTGCGACTCAACAAGCTGCAGAAAGCATACTCAAGGTAAAAACACTTGTTTTCCTCAATTATTTTGTCTCTTCTGCTGTCTACTTGCAAAGTTAAATAATTGATGTGCCGGAATCTACCAAAGTTTGTACATGGGATGTCTACAAAATGTGTGATGCTCCTTTGGTTTTTTGTGAAATAGGAACATACTTATCCACTGCAAAATCAGAGGAAAATACAGGGAAAGTTTACTTTTTGATTGAGGATAAAAAAATACAAACTTAATAGAAATTAATTACTATCAATATATTCCTAAATTAGGCGTTTTTTATTTCTTAAATATCATTCCGTCCAAATGTCGACACACTCTTCAAATTGCGCGCACAAATTCTGAAACACTCTTGCAGAGTTCCGGAGTTTATTTCTCGTCGAATGTTGTCTTTAAGCTCTTCCAGTGTTCGTGGATTATTGGAACACACTTTTGACTCAAGATGACCCCACAAAAAATAATCGCTTAGCGTGAGGTCAGGTGACCGAGGAGGCCAGTGAATGTCTCCAAACTTTGATATAACTTTTTGAGGATTCTCTGGAAGTATGGGCAGTGGCCCCATCCTGTTAAAACCACGTGCTTCTGTTAAGCCGACGTTCTGTTCTTACAATAGGAGCAAAAAGTCGCAATCACGCCCTTGTATCGCTCGGAATTGACTGTCAATGCATGACCGTTTTCATCTTCAAAGAAATACGACCAAATAATACCGCTAGAGGATATGGCGCGCCAAACAGTCACGTTTTTTTTAGGGTGCGTTGGTGCCCAGTATCTGCAATGTTGCAACATCCGTTCAGCACAAGATTTCCGTAATACATAATCACTTTCCTTTAAAGCATGGTCTAATTGAATTTTATAAGGATGAAAACCCATTCGTACAGAACGCAGAGGATTTGCAAAGATCTAATCACTTACTCGACGCACATTTTCTTCGGTTGATACTTAACCTCTTAATCCACTTTTTCAATAGGTTCTTTCTTGGCGCATTTCTTGGTCGGCGAATGATGTATCGTGTACAAAATTTCCGAATGGCAGCTGCGCATGAATCACCACTCTTAAAATAAGCCTCGATAGCAAAACCACGTTGCGCTCCGGTCCAACGTTCCATTGTGACTATTTAACCCCTCACGCCGAGCGCGTCGATCAAGACCTCTCCCCACTTCATCGCGTATACGGTTGCCGCGTAATTCAAATTTGATATGTGGATATATTATAAATGATTCTAAATAATGTATTTGCACCACAGGGCAGCGGGCCTCAACCGGCGATAACAGCGAAAACTGTAGCTGAACAGCTGGCCGCGAAGCTGAATACGAAGTTGAACTACCAACCTAAGGAAGATGACGATAGAAACGAGGAAGACAGTGAACAGACCTTCCGAAAATACGAAGAAGAACTGGAGATCAATGATTTCCCACAACAAGCCAGGTGGCGCGTCACCTCTAAGGTAAATATAGCATTATTTTATTCTACTCTGTTCTATGTGTCACTTTAAAATATTCGACACTGATGGACGGATGTTATGTTGCTGTCACTACTGTCATATGTCATCTCGATGTTAAAACTGACATCGAACATCTGTCATAGGGCGCCTGAGGTAGAAGATTGGTTGCAGTGTCTGACAAATAGATATACAGCAGACGCTCGATAATGTAAACTAATTTAATCCAAGTGTGGTTCACATTATCGAAATGTTTACATTAACGAACGTGATTTATATAATATTTGATTTATCAAAAGAAACGTTTAATACATACTATTTATAACAAAATAAACAAATATTCTAACAGCGATAAGTATTTTTTTAATTAGAAGAAAAATAATTTTTGTCTGCGTAAATTTGCGCTTAGCATTGTCTTCCAATGCCTGCGCCCGCAATTTACGAAGAACTAAAATATCCGTGCATGAAACTTCTTTTCTTTCAGCCCAATCTAAAGCTTGGTTAAAAACTTGTATAGCTTGCGTGTCAGTCACTACACTTCTGACTTCAATGGGATCGTTCTCATCATCCTCACTGTCCATATCCTCCTCCTTATCAGCATCATTCGTCTGCTTATCTTCGTTCCATAAATTAATATCAGCAGGAGTACAAACAATGTTGGGATTCACTGTTTTCAATAAATCAACAACATCCAATGACACACTAATAACATTATCATTATTGGATCGCAAACGTTCTCTAATTACGCTTAAGGGGACATCGTCTTCATCATCTTCATTATTGGTACAAAAGAGATTGTTCCAACATTTTTGAATAGTTTGCTGGTTAAGTTCATTCCAGGCCATATGTAAATCTAAAACAGCTTCTCGTAATGTTACTTTTTTTAAAGCCTCAGAGAAGTTTTCAGGATCCTTTGATAAGACAGACGAAAGTAGAAACTTCCTATAGTATAGTTTGGTGAGTCTTATTACATTCTGGTCCATCGGTTGAATTAACGGTGTTACGTTGGGCGGCATGTACATGACGAAAATTGACCCATCCCTGCTCCTCAGTTGTTGCTCGGGAGGATGACTTGGTGCATTATCCAATAGTAACAACGCTTTTATTGGAAGCTTCTGTTGTTTTAGGAAACCTTTTACCTACAAATTGAAAACACATCTTCAAATTATGAATAGAGCATTTGTGATAATTGATTGTCATACCTGAGGGACAAAGCACCTGTGGAACCATTTCAGGAATATACTGCTAGTCATCCAAGCGGTTTTTGAACAGTCATAATCAACAGGGATATTAACATTTTTAAATGAGCGCGGATTTTTTGCTTTCCCAATTACCAGTGGCTTTATTTTGTGTGAACCATTAGTATTAGTGCAGGCTAGAAACGTTATTCGTTGTTTCTCCGGCTTTCTTCCGGGGCAGATTTTTCAAATGATGCAGCATAGGTTTTCTCTGGTAACATTTTCCAATAAAGGCCACTTTCATCTGCGTTGTAAATTTGTTCCATTCTTGAATCTAGCTCGGTAATTGTTTTCATCAATTTTTCTTTGAATGGTTGCACTAATTGTGGTTGTGCTGATAATTTTTCACCAGATATAGACAGCAGTCGAATTCCATATCTTGTTTTGAATCGTTGTAGCCAGCCATCACTAGCTACGAAATTTTCAGTTTCTTTCAGTTTTTCATTTAACAGTCTCGCTCTCTGTTTAAGTACTGCGCCACTAACTGGGACATGATTTTCCCGTTGTTTTAAAAACCACTTATACAGGGAATTTTCCATTTTAGGTGCCTTCGCATTTTTTAAAGTTTTTCTTTTTCCCGGACCTCCAAATGTATTGCACGTTCTTTGTAAAATTTTAGTTTTCATACGCTTAATTTTACAGATTGTTGCTTTCGATACTCTATATTTTTTTGCTAACTGTGTCACTCCCGCACCTAGTGCAGCTTCGTCTATGATTTTCACTTTCTCACTCAACTTTAAACACTTTCTTTTATAGGATGTGGATTCCATAGTCGTAAAATATATTAACGTGCAATGTATTCACTTAAGTTCAAAAATGAAATACATACGTACGTATAAACGTATCCTAAACGATCATACGACTGACCGAGTTTGTCGTATTTTATCGCAGAGGTGAATCCCCTACACTCTACATCATAAATCGGGGACTCCCCGACGCCCGACATAAATCATCGAGGCTTCAGCATTTTACCGTCGCGCTGTTTCCGTGCGCCGAGAGTTGTTTACGTTATCGAGCGTACACATTGTTTACGTTATCGCGCGTTCCGTTTGATCCTATAGAACGAAGTTTGTGTTTACATTAGCGCAAGTTTTTATTATCCCGTGTTTACGTTATCGAGCGTCTGCTGTATTTGCTTATTGTCTGAAGAATAACAGCTTAAACATAAAATACAGGGTCCGTCAGAAAGAACGCATGTTTTTGGAATGGGTACTACATTGAGTGGGCTGGTCCCGTGTCGGTGGGGAAGGGCATGTTGGATATAGGGAGAAGTGCCGTTGCAGTTGGCAAGATGGTTTGGAACGTTGAGCATCGTGTGTTCACTGTACGTCGGTACTTTCAAAATTTCACAAAATAGCCGAGATATCCCACCTTAATGTTGTTGTTGATATCTTCTTTTGTAGGCCAAATACTCATCGGACCGCCCTCGTGGAGATATCAGTTACTATATCACAGTCCGTGAAATACTTGCCCCACTAGTCTGAATTCGTTGATCCATACAGAGACCTACTTGACATCGTTTTATTTTACAGGAGGCCCTGGCCCAAATATCCGAATATTCGGAAGCAGGCATAACGGTTCGTGGTACGTACGTACCAACAGGCAAAAATCCCCCAGAAGGAGAAAGAAAACTGTACTTGGCTATAGAAAGTACCTCGGACATCGCTGTGTCCAAGGCTAAGTCGGAGATCACGCGACTTATCAAAGAAGAGCTGCTTAAACTGCAGACGTCAGGTCATCATACGTTCAACAAGGCTAGGTATAAGGTGGTTTAAGACAAGAGTGTGTCAGTCTATATATTATTTTTATTGTGCGAGGACTCTGTTGTATTGAATTTAGTTCATGGAAAGATAATAAAGATGTGTACAGAGAGTGGTACGCTTATAGTTGTTAAAGATTTATTTAGCATTAATGCTACAATGTCAATTTTGTACTCGTATAATGATTCGGTTACATATTTTTCTTCAAACCATTTTCTGTAATTTTACATTCCTGTCTATTAAAATTACAATTAAAATTACGTCACTATGCATTTTAATTGTTCATAAAGTGATTCTTTAGTTTCACCTATGTTTAAGATCATTATTCAATTTATGAAATTCAAATACTCCCTTTTGAAATATGGATTTACTAGTTATGCTACTATTACAATTTTTCAGATGAAAATCTATTCTGCCTCTAGTTTCCTAGTTATGATAATGACTAAAAAATTGGGTCAATATAAATGGACCACTCTGTATGAGTTATCCGTCTACTGTGTGTTTTATTCTTGTTTCCTCCCATTTCTGTAATAGGCTATTCTCTAACCTGTTTTGATAATGTCAGTAATAAAAATACTACTAAACAATTAAACACAATAACTTAATTAAACCATCATAAGGAAATAAACATGTTGACCGGAATTTACTTTCATCTCCTCTTCTGTCAACTGTCAACGATCAAACGTCAGCGACCATGTCATCCGGCAAACAAGCGCGCGAATTTCAAATTTGAAATTTTTATTACTACAATTATTATTGTATTTTTAATGGTTGGAACAGATTGATAGTCATTATTTAAATGGATGATAGATGGGGTTAAAAGAAGCAAAAATTTTCATATAACATGGGGGTCAAAACAAAATTTTTTTAGAGAAAAGCGACTTGAAAAAGTAAAGTAAAATAAATCTGACAACGCCGCAAAACTGTGCAAAAGGATAACTAACCACTGTTACCGTTTGCGATCGATTGCCGGTTCAATAAGGCATTGATTCCCAAAGTGGTCTATATCGACCCCTAGGGGTCTATGACAACCTGCAAGGGGTCTACGTCAGCGAAAAAAAATTTGGGGGTCCATGAAATGAATATGGGGGTCCACGATAGTGGATCTCAACACATACACTGATAGTACCTACATCATACTATCTTATAATATCAAAACATAGACTTTATCTATAAATAAAGTACCTATGAAGTAAAAAATGTATTATATATGTTTATAAAATTGTGTAAGTTGTAGGATGTTGGTATTCGCTTTGTGGTCGCAATACATTTTGAACTTGTAAAAACCTGAGAGTCGCAGTCTCAGAGCTTCGCTACCTTGCACCGACTTGTTCAATTCGTCACTCTATAAATACGAATGTGGGACAAATACGTTTATTCGTTTCCTGAATCTTCAAAAGGAAAGTGCTAAGAAAATATTTTAAAAAATATAAACAGATAGTATATCACACAAATTATAGTGAGTCAGTGTTATTTTGTTTGAGAGTGCTGGAGAAAAGTAAGTACATTATTTTTTATTAAATTTTAGTTTTGTACTCGTAGTTAGCAAAGATAGATAAATTACACCAATAATGACTTTAGTTATTAGTAGTTAAATATTCAATCATGCAAAATTACACGAGTACTCCTCAATAGTTTCTTTTTGAAAGTTTTAGCAATGAGTAATATAATTACAGTGCAATCTCCGTAATTCGAGCTAATTGTTGCAAGAAGATGTTCGAATTATGGAATGTTTTCGGAAAAATCAAAAAATATTTTTAATATACAGCTGCTGGATTTTCTGTCTCATTTAAATAATTTAATTATGCCCACAGATGACTGATGCCATGTCCGAATCTAAAAAGAAATGTAGGCAGTACAGTGTTGATTATTTGAAATTTGCTTCAGTCCATCATTGCCGGACAAACAATAGCCTTTTATGGTTTGAATACGCGGTTATTTGCGCACTTGTGTGAAGAAAATGACGAACACTTTCATCAATTACTCCTTCACACTGAAGTACGTTGGCTGTCGAAAGGCTTATGTTTGACAAGATTTTTTGCACTTTTTGAGACTATTTTAGAATTTCTGGATACTAAACATAAAATTTTAAAAGAAAATTTAATGAAGAGGAAAACAGACATCGCCTATTTAACAGATTTGTTTACAAAATTTAATATGGTTAATTTGCAATTACAAGGCGACAGTTTAAATTTGATTAAAACAAAGTCCATCTTATCAGCGTTTCTTGCCAGAGTAAAACTAATGAAGCAAAAAATTGGACGGGGCGAATTTTCTCAGTTCTCCAATTTGTCACAGACAAGCTGCCAGGAAGACGACGTTTTAACTTACGTTCAACATTTAAATGCCCTATATTCAGATTTTGAATCTAGGTTTGAGGATATTTTGACTATGGTAATACCACCGTGGATAATTAATCCATATGGTGACATAGAAGAAACGAATGTCATAATACAAGAGGAACTGACTGAACTAAGTACAAACGAAGAACTTAAGGTTCAGTTTAAAAACGGATATCAGCAATTCTGGCTGCAAAACAACATACCCGTTACTTATCCCGTATTATGGAATATAGCCAGGAAATTTTTAATTTCCTTTCTATCGTCATACCTAGTGGAAAGGGGGTTCAGCGCTGTTACCAATCTCCTAACGAAAAAAAGAAACAGACTGGAGCCGAGGAGATTTAAGATTAACCCTTACAAAATTGACGCCTAATGTTGATAATTTATTATTAAAGCATCAGGTTCATCCTTCTCGCTAAAAATATTGACTTATTGCTTATGTTATTTTCTTTATAGTTTATTTTATGTTTTTATGCCCGCTTTTGGAATAAGTGCCCGCATTGATTTTTTTAAAGAACCCCCCTGTATAGAAAATTTTTTTTTAATAAATTATTCTGAAAATTCAAGGATAGGTACACACTAAAATTCGTTAATTTTTTGCGTATTTTTAGATAACTTAAACGTATATGAAGCGGAATTTAATCAAACTAACAGCGAAATTATTGTAGAACATACTTTTATGTTATAATTAATAAACGAACTCGCTTATTGTACTATTTTGAGTAAACAACTTTTTTTTATTATATATTTTTCACTTTTTTTTTATTTTATCCCTCTTATTTTTTTTCAATGCGGGCACTTATTCCCAATGCGGGCACTTATTGGTCAGACACCTGTTTATTTAATGTGACGTATATTTTACATAACAGATACAAAATTTTATTTTGAGTAGTTTTAATATAAATTCAGTTAATAAATATATAAATTAACATGTGTTTTTACTTTAAGTTTTTAACACTAAACTTCACTACAGTTAGAAATTTACAGGAAATCAATATCAGGTAAGTAGGGGGTCTACCCAACACGGAAAAACATGGCAAGGGGTCTACGACACAAAAAAGTGTGAGGAACTCTGAATAAGAGTGATGACTACCGACGCGCTGTTGTCAAGTGTATTTTAAATACTCAATTTAATGAAACTCACTTTCTTACTGACTACAAATTTTGGCTTAACTTAATGCCATTTATTTGATAATTACAAAATTTAAAAACGTTTTAGATTAGAGTATAAAAATTAGTAAGATTGTGGTGATTATGGTCGATATAAAACACTTAAAGTTGTAAAATATAAAGCCATTTAGACAAAAATCTATGGACTTTTGGACCATGTGTCATATGAACTTTTTGACTTGTTTTGACCTTCCCTATTACCCATTTCAATAATGACTACCATAACGTTTACACCCTGTGTCAGAAATTTCAGGCTGATATAAATCAAAACCATGACAGTTTGATACAAATAGGTATTTGTAACATAACCTCAAAATACAGCGCTGACACGGATCAATAGAAAACTGTGAAATTAAAGGCGTCTTGCAATTGTAGGAACGACTGACGATACGGGCCTTAGAGCAAAAAAAAATAACGTATGGTTAAACCTTCCGCTACGTTATTTTTGACAGAGATAGCAAACAGGATGGTTGGAAAAATAAAAGAGCTTTTATAACCACTAGAGTGAATTGTGATATAGTTGTAGTCACCGTTCTTGGCGGTTACGTCACCAACGCCATATGAAATAAGTAAACAGATCGAGTCTCCGTATCATAGGCGGAGCACTGCGCAGACTAATCTTCAGCGCATCTGCTACTCTCTCTAGTACGCATGAAGTGGGTAACAGTGGACCGCTGTTTTCATTCTCTTATCTCTCCCATGTCACGACAATCCAATTAATCTAGAACACATTTCTTGCATTTATTTTTATCGTGATATAAAACTCATATCTCTATTAAAGTGTAACCAATTATGTTTTAATGAATTGTAATTATCTTGGTTATCTTCACGAATTCCGGTAACAGCGCTGTATAAAGGAAGAATAACCTTACAAAATAAGCCCTCCCCTATTCTCCTTATTAACTAACGAAGTTCTCTTATTTATTTAACGGAAAGATCGCTACTAAACAAAACCGAAATAATGAGTATCAGAACGAAGCAGTAAAACAAAATTAAAAAATCTCGTTACGTCTACGTATGCAGTATGTGATTGCCAAAACTCGCTATTACGCTATAACTTTGACGCGAAGTTCTACGTTTGAACTTTGTAAGAGTAAAGTTTGCCTCATCTAGATCATAGAAGAAAGTCAAAATAGACGCCAGTTGATATTCTACCGAAATACTCGTAAATTTATTTTAAAATATCCCCTAAAAAGCTTCTTAGTTGCGGTAATGGCACGCCCATGCTTTACAGTGTCGTAATCCGTTCATCTAAGCTTTGATAACCTTTCAGCATCAACGTAAAAATATATTTTTTGATTAGATTGTTTGAAAAAGATCAGTGATACGTTCTTGTAGTAGTTAATAACATAAAAATCAATGATGTTCTTTGGGCACGCATTTTTAATTTTATCCTTCTGGGTGGTTTTATCAAAATTAGAGGAAGTGGACGATGGTAAGTACCCGAATTATAAAATCATCTACACATTCTGCGAAACCCGATATACAGGGTGTTTCAGTTTATTGTTGCATAACTTTGAGATTCGATAGAACTTTTAAAGTTAATGCATAAAGTCTATATAAACATGGGTCGAAAAATGCGTGGCTTCCGAAATACAGGGTGTTTAAATTTACTTTCTAAAATAGTTTTTTTTAAATATTTCGAACAATATTTAATGTATAACAGTGAAAATTGGTATCCAAGGGTTTTTTGGTACGATAAAACGAAGCATGGGCATAGTTTTACTGTAGCCGCTAGAGGGCGCTCTCTACTATACCTGTAGTGTATTAAAATGAGCGAAAAAATTTTCTTAGTGCAACTTTTTGCTTTTTGAATAAAAAAACTGATTCTTCGCACTTTTCAACATAAAAAAGCTCTCTTGTGAGTTTTCGTTGTAGTTAGCCGTTTTTGAGATATTTCGATTTTTAAGGTTCGATGCATTTTTAATTATTTATGGGAAAATAATATTTTTTTTTACATTTTCGATTTGAGCATTACAAGTAATTAAGATGATCGTTTAGATTGTGTTTTTAAACACAGCAATAATTCCTAACTCCAAATAAACACAAAAAAACTGAATATTAATTTGTTTAATTTTCCAATATAATTTTTAACAAATTAAATTAATTATTTACAACTAAAATGCTATTGGATAGTTAGAACAAACATACAAAATCTAAAGTAGTTTCTCGAAATGTAAACCCAATTGTTCAATACACAATTCACATCTACGAATGATCGAACGTGGTATAGCATTATTCAAATAAGGCCTTATTTCATCACATGCATTCCTGATTCTGTCTATTAGCATATCTCTTGTGGTTACGGGAGTCTGGTACACTTTTTCTTTTAGAAATCCCCACACAAAGAAATGTAATGGATTTAGGTCAGGGGATCGTGGAGGCCAGGCGACTGGTCCTTCACGGCCGATCCATCTTTCTGGATAATTTTCGTCCAGCCAGTTTCTAACTATTCTCGAATAATGAGCTGGACAACCATCAAGCTGGAACCAGGCCAATCTTCTTAAATCTGACATAACATCATCCCACATATTTGCATGTTCAGCCTTTAAAAATTCCAAGAAGGTCGCAGCATTTAACCTTGCAGGCAAAATGTAGGGTCCAAATAGTCGATTACGGTAGATACCAATCCACACGTTCACACTAAATTCATGCTGAAAATTTCTTTCCCGAACTGCATGCGGATTTTCATGCGACCAAATATGTTGAGTATGAAAATTTACCACTCCACGTCTAGTGAAGCATGACTCATCGGTCCATAAAACGTTACTGAAAAGCTCCCTACTATTATCAGTTCTATCAAGAATCCACTGATAAAATGTGATTCTTCGTTCTCCGTCCCCTGGCTGTAGTCCTTGCACAGGTTGCAAATGGTAAGGACGTCTATGGTCATTTCAAGAACACGGTGAACATGGCTTGCTGAAATTGCCAAGGCACCAGAAACTCTCCTAACACTTGTGGTCGGATCTCTATCAAACTCACGCAGAATCGTACGGGTAAATCTGCGCTGACGAACATTTATGTTTTGATCCCTTTGGAGATTTCCAAAACCATTTTCAATTATTTGGGGATGCATTCTTACAAATACTGAGCGAGTTGGATGTCGTCTGTTTGGAAATCTTCGTGCGTATTCTCTGGCTGCTTCTGCTGCGTTTCCATTTACAAAGCCATACACAAAATGAATATCCGCTAACTCTTGATTGGAGAATAAAAATGGCATTTTCATAAAACTTACAAAAAAATCACTGGTAAAAGGAACTAAATTTCGTCCATTCACAATTGCAAAAAAACGTTTCAGGTTTCAACAGACAACAAAACTAACTGTCAACTAATTGACGTTTAACCTTATTCTGCATTCAATTTCAAAAATATTTGCAGGCACAGCCTACTTCTAAAAATTATCGAGATACTGACTTTAACGTTATTTTATCATAAATAATTAAAAATGCATCGAACCTTAAAAATCGAAATACCTCAAAAACGGCTAACTATAACGAAAATTCACAAGAGAGCTTTTTTATGTTGAAAAGTGCGAAGAATCAGTTTTTTTATTCAAAAAGCAAAAAATTGCACTAAGAAATTTTTTCGGTCATTTTAATACACTACAGGTACAGTAGAGAGCGCCCTCTAGCGGCTACAGTAAAACTATGCCCGTGGTTCGTTTTGTCGTACCAAAAAACCCTTATATACCAATTTTTACTGTTATACATCAAATATTGTTTGACATATTTAAAAAAAAAACTATTTTAGAAAATAAATTTAAACACCCTGTATTTCGGAAGCCATGCATTTTTCGACCCATGTTTATATAGACTTTATGCATTAATTTTAAAAGTTCTATCGAATCTTAAAGTTATGCAACAATAAACTGAAACACCCTGTATACGCGCTACTGCGAACATTTTTTAATTTGAACGTTAGGCGAATGCTACATGTTCAATACCTACTGTGATCCGTCAGTATTCATCAAGAACGTCAATAATTATTATTGTATAGAGTCGACGTCAAGCCGGAAACAGTCATGTCAACACAGTTCTCAGAAAAATTAAAAAAAAAACTCTGCTACTTCTGATATTTTGCCCCGTAAATCGAGTAGATTTAAGTCAGGTGAACGGGCTGGCCACGAAATTTTACCTGTACCAGACCGCCCTCCCAACTAGCAAAGTAGTGTGGTATAAGCTTTCGATAAAAGAACCGTTCAGCCATAAAAGCTCTCTATTGTTGTTGCCTGAACACCAAAAATGCTGGCATAATGTTGTGTGGAATGCAAATTTGCTTTCTGCAACATATTTCCTCTAAAATGAGGTGTTTAAAATATTCTTATAGCATAGTTACACAACACCTTATAGGGCAAATTTTTAACTGTTGCATAAACGTTTATACAACTATTTTATACGGCATATTTGCAAGTTAGTCAAAATGGTTGTGTTGTGGCACCCAAGCTAACGTTTATAAAAAAACCCGAGCCTTGTTGCTTTGCTGTGCTATTTACTACATTAGCCAACAAATTGCTCCCAACGGAAGCACTTATACAACTGTTACATATGCTTAATATGTTGGTAAACAACTTCACCATAACCTAACTTTCTGCTGTCATATTTTTGTTAAAATGCCATAACCAATGTTTTAAGACAAACAACACATGCATATTGGTTCAAAAGATTTTATAAACTGTTCAAACAGAAGATATAGATCTGGTACAAATTCTGGGTAAATCATTCGACACCAAAACATTCTAATAACCTAAAGACAACATGGACGATGCCATGATTGTACACAACCACCCGCCATATTGGACAAACATTTATTCCTCTATTTAATATTAAATAATTATGTTTCAGTTCGAAATTACAGATATAAAGTGATAAACATTAGTGTAATTGTGTCTAAATATAGGATTTGTGGAAGATTTAACGCAGATAAGTTCAGTTTTCCATCTTAAAAATCTAGACATACTTTTGATCATTGTCAAAATATGAATCAAATACGAAGCCCGTAGAAATTGGGTAACTAATTTGCACGATAATCACAATAAAATTTGCTGCCCAAGTAATTCAATAGCCCTATATCACAGTGTAGAAGTTTATCATATACCTGTGTATGAAATTCACAATAGCCGATGTGTAAGTAAACAAGATGACTGTAATGTGTTAGTTATATATCCTTCTCCGTCTATACAATACATAAGAAATAGTTTGGTTGCAATAAAGTAGAATCACGTAACAGAATAGTTGTATAGTTGACAAAAACTGATTCTTGCACTGACGCAAATGTCCTATAGCGGCTGCAAGAGGCTTACACTTTTGTTTTATAACTGTTACCTGCAGCCCTTATTTAACGTCTTAAATGACTGAAGTGTCCGATTAGGGGTGCCCATTCCGCTTGTATAGCTGTTCTAAGAGGGTTTTGCTAATGTTCTTACAGCATACAATGCTGTTTAAGGAATACTGTACGTTATAATCATTCTTGCAACTCTAATAGGAGTGATAATTGTTAGTTGGGCTGGCAATCTGCTCAGGTGTTCCGCATCAAGATATTCTCTAACTGAAAGGGCATAGTGTGCCGGGCCGGACTTAGTGGCATGTTTTCCAATAAATTTGGTAAATGGTTTTGTAAAAAGTCTAAATAAATTTTGCCATTCAAGAACTCTAAGGGTACAATAATGGTTCTCCCGTTTAGAATCCTCGTACACATTTTTACTTTAAAATGACACTGTTATCTATCTTGTCTCATCAAATGTAGATTTTCTACATGCCAGTCGTGTAAGTTGTGCAGATTTACCTTACAAAACTCAACTCTTGGAAGGTAACCCTGGGGTTGTAGGGAGGTGGCCTATCCGCAGTTCCTGGTTTGACACCGACTTATCGGACACCCTATAAGGTGTTCCTTAATGATATGCGAATATTTAAGGGTGTGAATCTACATGAAAAATTAATGTTACTTTGCTTTACGAACTATGGTCCAACAATGTTTATTCTATCACAAGCTGCAACTATTCTTTCTCTTAATTCCGCTACAGTGTTAATGGGACTTGTGTATTCTAGTGTCTTAAGATAGCCCCACAAAAATAAATATAAGCTGTTGAGGTCTGGGGACCTTCGTGGCCATTCTTGGGGCCCACCGCGGCCAATCCAACGATTTGGACCGTATAGTGGGACTTCGGGAAGCTGGACTTTCTTTTCGGGCAATTGCAGTTAGAGTGCAAAGAAGTGTAGACACTGTGGTTAGGTGTTGTCAGGCATGGCTTCGAGAAGGCCGTACGCAAAGAGCAAGGGGCACTGGACGCCGCTGTAGAACAACAGACCGCGAAGATCGCCGCCTAAGATTATTGGCCTTAAGGGACCGTTTCTCCACTACCAGGTCCATTGCAAATGAATGGTTTGCAGAACACGGAGGACCTATTGGCATGCGAAGTGTTTACCGACGAATGAGAAG